ACTAAAAAAACGAATAATATGGGCATTCCTTGTTTGTCAAGTCCAATTTGTTCCAACCAAAGATATAAAGAATTCATTTGATTATTGCCGGGATTTTCACACATGTGGAGATAGACTGAAACCGATGATTTGCATTCATACACTAACTAAAACAGTTTTTTTTACTGATACTCAAATTTTTCTTCAAATACTTACATATGTAAGTCAAAAGTGTAGATTACTATGTACTGAACTAGTACCGGACGAACTAATGACTATTCATAATTCCATAATTGAATCAATTACAGACCGGTTCAAAACTAGAGGCATGGTAAAACTTCGTTTGAAACGATGTGGTAACAAGCAACGTGTGATTTGAAGGACATGATCGACTGTGGATGTAAAAACCCACCACTTTTTTATATGGAGGGTACAAGTACACTTTGTTGTCTGGTTACCTTTTGTACGTGAGTGCATTAATTGTTAGGTGTCTGAGATTGACTGAACATATTAGTTTGTAAACGTGAAAGCCACTTTTTCTATTTTATATTGAAATAGATATTAAAAAAGAATTGATTGAATCAAATTCAAAATTTGATGGATTTTATTTTTAGTTGGATTCAGTCATAGCTAGTTTTTCTTGAACGAAGGTAATAATCAGGGGATGGGAGAATGTCAGAGCTTGAGGGTGCATTTAGAATGATTATGAGGTGCTCTCATTGTAAAATTGTAATTGTGATTTTGTTGAGCTGCCTTGTATTGTAATTAAAAATTATTTTAATATTTTATTAATTATTTCTTAAAAATATGATAAATGAAGTATGATAAATTTTATTAGTTATTAATTAAAATTTTAAAAATATTATATGATATATAATTATTAAAATAGATAATATTTTTTACTTCTGAAAAATTTAAGTTTTTTAAGTTTTTTATGATGAGAGTTTTTTTTAATTTCATGAGAGCAACATATAAAGAGGGAATGAGTTTTTAATTTTTTATGAAATTTTTAAATAAATAAAAGGTTAAGTTTAAATAAAATATTATAAATTATGATATAATTAAATTAAATTGAGTTAGATTTTAATAAATAATTTTGTAATTATATTAAATATTAAATATTATTTGTCACAATAAAAAGTTTTAAAATGAGATTTTTAATTATATATATAAAATTATTGTAAATTTTTTATTTTTTTAAAGAATAATTTAAAAATAATTATTAAACACATATATATCTAAAAACACACCATAAAAATTTTTTTTCAACCATAATTTCAAATGCACTTTAGCCTTGAACCATAAGGCTAACAAGGCTGGTTCAAAGCTGGTTATACTGTTAGGTAAGTTGGTTGGATACTTTCCATACAAAAAGAAAACACATAACTTTGGAAAGACTATACTTTTTTCCATGCTTCATGCATGGAGATGAGAGCAAAGGAAACTACATCTGCCCTTTTAAGTTGCAAAAAAATAACACCGCGGGGCCCCTCCCAGTCTGTGGACCGGCGATGTCTGGCCGGCGTTGCTAACTTGCAATGCTGTCAAACGGCTGTCATTCCCTCACCTCAGTTCCTGAGCCGTCCAGTTACTTTTAATTATTGCAGCATTTTCCGTTACCGGAGGCAGAATTTATTTTCAACTGCGCAATAAATTAGTTGTAGTACCAAAATTCGCTCTCCTTCTCAAGACGGCATTTTTACGTTTCAACTAACGCGACGAACAAGGCAAAGTCAATTCCTTTTTTCATTTTTAGAAGTTTGTAGAATGTGAATGTGAGCATTTCATTTTTAGAAGTTTGTAGAATGTGAATGTGAGCATCTTTCTTCTATTTCATTTCCCAATTCACCCGCAATCTTACGACTCGAACCTACGGCTATTTCTTCAGTCGTTTCAATTCCTTTTTATCGTTTCTCTACCCTTTAAAGTTTCAAACTTTATATACGCAACCCCAATTTAAAATCCAAGGGCTGGTATTTAGTGCAAGGCCGGATAGGAAGCCTCTTTTGGGTCACAGAAAATGGGTGCAGCTGAATCCGTTCCTCAGAAATCAATTCACGAATTTGCCGTCAAGGTACGTTAATTAATTCAGTTTTCCAATTGGGTATGCATGTGTGTATGTATATCTTTATGCAAAAGATTGATTTGGTTGATGGGTTTTCTGGTTTGATTTGTGGGGGTGGTGCAGGATTGCAAGGGTAAGGATGTTGACCTTACCATCTATAAAGGGAAGGTTCTGCTTGTGGTTAATGTTGCTTCTAAATGGTGCTTCTCTTTTTCCTTCAATTCGTTTGTTCTTTATGAGTTTCTTGATAAAATTTTGTGCATTTCTAATTCTGGGTGTGTTGTTCATTTACATGGTGGTGGAACAGTGGGCTTATGGATAAAAATTATACCCAGTTGACTGAGCTTTATAACAAATACAAGGACAAAGGTTAGTTCCCTTCTCCCTTTCCTTGTTTCCCCTGTACTGAATTATGTGTCATCTATATTCTTCTTATGGGTCTGGTTTCTGATAAGGGTTAGCGGTGGGGTTTACCTTGTGTGAAGAAATTTGGAGTAATTATGCAGAACTCTGTTGTAGTTTTGGACACTTGGTAGACCCGTTTCAGATATTCATATGCTACAGCCTATTACGGTGTTTTAGGAGTTTTCAAGATATGCACTTGAAAGACCTTTTCATTGAAAGTACGGGCATCCTTTTGTAAACCTACTCAGTGAATATGATGATATGATGAAATTTCTATGCCTTCAATCACTTGAAGAAACCTCTGAGAAGTTGAAAATATGAATAGGAAGAAACCTCAGAGAAATTTCTTTAGAATTAATTTTTATCAGCTATTGCATAGGAAGAAACCTTAGAGAAGTTGAAAATATGAATAAATAGATAGTTAGAGACTTTATTCTACAGATAAAAGGTCTAATTGATGGAAGCACTGCAATAAGTTGTATATACTCTTATTACTGGTTAATATTGTAGGAGTTGTCAGTATTTTGGGTTTGAAATAATCACTTTTATTCAGTTTTCATTCATGTGAAACCAGTTGATTGCTTGTTATTTTATTTTATTTCATTGATTTAAAGATGCATGTCTTATTTTCTCGTTGAAGGTCTAGAGATCTTGGCATTTCCTTGCAATCAGTTTCTAAAGCAAGAGCCTGGCACAAGTCAAGAGGCACAAGAATTTGCATGTACAAGATACAAGGCTGACTATCCAATTTTCCAGAAGGTAAGAGAGCTAATCCAATTTTTTGTTTAATTTATGTATCAATTCATTTAATCACTGGATGTTTTCTGTAATTTCTATATCTGATCAATGATGGCATTCACTTCTGATCTGATTTTTTCTTTTAAACTAACTTAACTTCCCAGGTAGGTAGCTAATTTGATGCATCTACTAGAATTATTGAAGTTCTGGAAAAACTCCAATATCTCTATTTAGTATTTCTTCAGGCTTCTTCTCACTTTAGAAGTGTAATATTTTAATATAATCCCTTTTCTTTTATTTAAATGGTCATACCCCTTGCCTTTTCACAACAACTAAACAGTCATAAGGAGGAGGAGTAGGGGCATTTTAGCCTTCATTCTTCATATACCCTTGAGATTATCTTTGCAAACAGAGATACCACATCTGATGAGTCATGATGATTGTTTTGCATGGTTTTGTACTGTCAAAACAATCATTTAAAGAAATTGCCTATGAAGAATCTGTTTTGCTGTCATTGTGATACTCTTACAGGGAATTCAGTAGATTTTTTAAGTGTACCCTTTAGTTATATCCTAAAGCTTTTTATGAATGTGCCTTATACTTTATGTCCGACGTTAATCTCACTCTTGTAGCTCTATAACTAGATGGAAATTAAATTGTATGTTTAAATTATGCCATTCTAAATTTACAAAATGGCTAGATATGTAATTAGTTTTTTATTAACCATGCAAGTCAAAGCAGTCTGAGAAATCAGTCTCGAGCATGGTCATGAGCTGTATTTCTAATTTCTTAGTAATGTTGGTTTTTTTCCAGAACTTTCCTGTTTTACTGCTTTTCTCACTGGAATGATTGAACTGTACTGAAATACATCTGTCCTCTAGAAATGTGCTAACACATGACTAAAGCTAGAGCAACAGTATTAGTTATTTAGTTGTGGGCTATACAATAGGGGATAATCAGTCCCCCATTTAAACTCCTCCCAACTCATTTCAAGATTTGAATATATAAGGCCTACAGCTAGGAAGTCTTTTGCTGAAACCATTGGGTGTTCCCCAGGGACTGGAATAGTATGATTTAGTTATGGATTTTGTGTTTTGGCCTGTATTATTGGTCTTTTGCCCAAGGTTGATCCTCAATGGATCAGAAAAGCTTCAACCACTGCATGGGCTAGGTGTAGTGTTCATGTCTTTTTCCAGTAGAACAGTAGTCATTAGCACCTTCTATTAAGTTTCCTCACACCATTTTATTGATGATTGGTTACAAAACAAACAAGAGGTAACTATTTCTTATCTCTTTCCCACCCCACCCCCATGCATTGGTCCAAAACCTAACCATTAGGTCACTGGCAAGTTCTCTGATCACTTTCATTGTGTTTGTAGGGAAGATGAATGCATTTTCATTAGGGAAACTTTTGAAGGAGGTATATAAAGGATAATGATAAGTTGGTACAACCCTACCAAACTGGATCAGTTTATTCTCATCTTGAATTGTAGAATTGCTGGTAATGAATTTGAAGACTCTTGTTTGGAAATATCTCCATTTCTTAAAATATAGGTTATTTTATAGTCAATATTTAAGATACCGTCTAGAAACTAATTTGTGAGTTATAAATGTGTAGGTAGATTCTGTTTTCCTCCATTTTAATGGTTCAATGTCATCATCTTCATCATGCCTACAGCTTGTGGGCCAACCGGCCAAAGAACAAAAAATCACTCTTACTCGTTGCTTATGAATGCATACCTGATTAGAAAATGTTCTGGACCTTGCATTCTATGTTGCAGTTTGATGCTCAACTTTCTATATACAATGTTTATTTAGGTACGGGTAAATGGCAGAAATGCAGCACCTGTCTACAAATTTCTAAAAGCTAGTAAACAAGGATTCTTGGGATCTCGGATAAAGTGGAATTTCACCAAGTTTTTAGTTGACAGGGAAGGTCAGGTTCTTTATCGCTACGGCCCAGCTACTGCTCCCCTCTCCTTTGAGGTATTCTCTATCTCTCTATACACTTGTGCACAAACATGCGATTACATACATCTGAAATTAATTTATTTCTAAACTCTAGTTTTCATTTTTCTTTGAATCCATGCATAGGCTGACATCAAGAAGGCATTGGAAGTAGAATAAATGTGAATATTAGACATGTAAAGAGTGTTGGCCATGAGATGTAAGACAACATGCTACCATGTTTTCTTGAGTAATCATCAATCTATTCTGTATCTAGGAAATGTTTTGTACCCACCATTTGAATAAATAAGGGGGAAAACAGCTTTTGTTGTGTCATTGTGTAAAGTTCTCTTTTTGTTACATTTGATGGGTTTTTTTTTTTTTTTTTTTTTTGGGTACATTTATGGTACATTTGGTTTGTGGGGAACAGAGGGGAGGGGAGGATTTTTTAACCAATTAAGTTGTAATATTTAAAAACATTATAATTTGATTAGTAAAAAAATCCTCCTTTTCTTTTCCCTTCAATCCTCTTAAACTAAACATATTATTAGTGATGTACTAATTCAATAGAAGGTTTTTCTTTTCGAACTCTTTTTACTTGTTTCAAGGTTTGAACTTGAGATTTCTAACATGAGATTTTTAATGTGAAGATTCAATTTTTTACTGATTGAGACAACTTTTCAAAGACACATTTGATCTTCATTTTGTTGGTCACAAGACACATTTGATCTTTATATGAGACTTCACTCTTCTTCCTTTTTCTTTCTTTTTCCTCTCATCCAAACATGAGGTTAGTTTGTAACGGATAAGAAACATGGGGTTATTTCCCTCCACAGGATCTCCATCAAATTACCAGAAAATGAGGAAATCTTCCCGACAGCTTAGATTTTTATGGAACTGCGTTGAATTTTCCCCACCAACATTCTCAGGCAAAATCCCACAAATTGTCCTTTAATTTTTCGAGTGTGTGGAATTTTATCCCTCATCTTATAATATGTGATGTTATATTCTCTTGGTATTTGAGTTTATGATAATAAGATAATGTTTATCGTTGTAGGATCAAGTGCAACCCTCGAAAAGTTGTGAGGTAGGGGTAAAATTTCATAGACTCAAATGCCATGAGAATATAAAATCATAAACTCAAATACTAAAATAATATAATATCACATATTGTAAGATAAGGGATAAAACTCCTCACGCTCGAAAAGTTGAAAGGCAATTTGTGGGTTTTTGCCACGTTCTCATGGTTTATCTTCCTGCCATGGCTACCGGGCAAAGTAAAGCCTTACCGCGACAACAGGCAATTCGCACGTGGGCTGGGCCCAGTATCTTCAAAATTTTCTGTATATGGAACAATTTCGACCCACTAACTTCGTGGTGTGGGCCCAAAATGTAAGGACAAATTCAATTGCTTATTAAAGCCTTTGGTCGCCGCCGGCAACGGTGAGTGGCCGGCACGGCATGTTGAATTAAGTGGCATTGTATAGGTTGGACACATTGTTGAAATGGTGCATGCTAGCATCAGGGATGATGGAGTCGGTTAGGATTTGAGAATCTTTGGAAGAATTGGCATTTGTTGCTTTTTGTCAACAAACATCAATTCTATTATTGAAATTTGAAAATAGCTATTATTGATCTTATATATTCAAATGAATACTAGAAAACGTGAATTTTGTGACGTTTTTGAAAAAAAAAAAAAAAGGAGAAATATCAATATGGAATCTTGAAAATAAATATGAATAATAGAATGTTTTAAACAATTTAAATTATACTAATTTGCACAAAACTAACAATTGATATAGATGAATCGTTAACTCCATTAATGGTTACTTTTTTAGAGTTTAACGCAATTTGAATTGAATTACAAAATAACCTTTTGTATGAATTAATATGAGTGTTATTTGTTATAGATAAAGCACAACAAAAGTAGTTCTAAATAAACTTTAAGATTATAGATGCTGATTTGAAATTCTCTTGTTATGGATGGGGTCAAGAGTTTTCTGACCCTTGATGTGGTATTGAGTCCTGAGTACCTAACTTCTTGATCAAGAGCAAACCAAACCAAATTTCAGTTTTCTACTTACCAGATATCTTATTAATTTTATTCGCTACACAAAATAATTTCATTATGTATTCTACACCTACCAAATTAGTCAAAAAGATGGATGATAATAGGACAATACTCATCTGACCTTTTGTTTAATGTTCAGAGCCTTTAACATAATCTTATTTTGATACTAAATAATTTAATTACTAGTAAACAATATGGTTGGGATAGTTATCTTGAATTTGATTGTGATTTTGGCCCACCAAAACTAAAATATTCTATTCATATACAAAGAACTTTTAGTGGTGGAGGTGGTTTCTGCATATTTGAGTCAATACCCACATTTCTCTTCAAAAAAACAAGAAGATATCAATACAAATTCTTTACTCCTTCCTATATCAAAGAAAGATATGATTTTTTCATTTGGGTTAGGTCTGTATTAACCATTTTTCTACTTAGATTAACAAGCAACTTTTATTGGCCAAAAAACACAATTAAAAAAAAAAATCAACCTCTTCTTCTATCAAAGTTTGCTAGTGAATAAGTCCATGAAATCATAAGAGGATGAAAAGTCCATGTCAAGATGGGTTTGGCAAGGAGACAAGCTAATAGGTCTGGTTGTCTTCTTACTTAGACGGTGGGTCCTGATGCCAAGTGATCCAACTAGAGGCCAACAATTGTTTCCCATCACATTTTCCCTTCTCCTAATTTCCTCTCCCCTAGTCCTCCTCTTCCTCCTATAAAAAACTTCATAGAACTTGCTCAGCTTGGCCAAGTTTCATCTTTCAATCAAACACTTCCTAGTTCCTCCCTTACCCTTCAATACAGTTTTCCTTTCTTCTTTTACAATGGCAGCGACCGCGTCTTCAATGAAGAGTATGAAGCTCCGGTCATGGCAAAGGTGTTGTTCAAGGCACATTAGGGAGCGGAGGGCTCGACTCTATATCATATGGAGGTGTACTGTGTTGCTGATATGTTGGCATGAGTAGCCTTTCTGATTAGCTTAAGTATCTGGATTGATTTGGTTTCTCAACCGAATTGAAGAATTAATGAATTAAGGATGAGAACCAGAATGAATTAATGATATATAGGGGCAAATATGTAGAAGTCAGGAAAAAAGTACTCAGACTAGTACTTGGAAAAATTGATGAAAACTGGTGTGGATGCATGCTGTGCAAAATAACATAATGTCCCTTACAGGGGAAAATGAAAATCTTGGTGCAATTTTGTAACTAGTAAACTAGTTCTGAACTGAAGTTTTCTTGTACCCTTTGGTGTGAAGGTTACCTTAGAGATTAAAATACTCAAGAAAGCCACATTTCTTGGTAGTAATTAGTAGCTTAAATCTTCTTTTTATGGAATAATGACAACACCAGGAAATTAATCTTCTTTCTTCAATTTACCATTTTCCAAATTGTTTTGATACTGATAGAAGTTATGAATATAAGATTGTCCTGTATTTGATAAATCTAGAATTTTATCTAACAACGTTAATAACTCTGCATGATCTTATTTAAACATGTTCAATGTTATTAATACGGTATTCTTTAACTTTATAATATAAGTTTCCAATAGCATTGATAGCTCTTGTCAATGAAGTCTTCTCTTAGTTGTTGAGGTAGACAGTACTTGTACTTTCAGGTTTGAGATTGAGTTCTCCGCGGTTATATCCCAATCTCTTCTAGATGCAATTTATTAAAAATGACGTTTACTAATACTAAACAAATCAGTTTTGATCAAATAAAAATATATGAATTATTAAAATTTTAAATAATATAAACTTACAATTTTTTTAAAAATGTTTGTAAATTTACAATGCAAAAACATTTATGAATGAGGCTGATATTTTGATAGGAAGTCATTGGTTTGAAAGTCAAATTTTCTAAATAGGCTAAACCCCTATTAACATTATGCATATTATATATATATATATATATTTGCAATTAACACTTTTCATAATTTTCGTTTTTGATTAATACTTTTATAATTTAAAACTCAA